GAAAAGTTCCACATCACATGTCAAATTAAATAAAAAAGAATTTCGAGCCAAACTCAATAATTCCAAGGGATATCCTGAAACAGGTTGATTTTCATTCTCAATTTCCACATTTATAATAGACAATTTCTCGAATGGAACATCCTATCAACTATTGAATTCTCGAAATCTTCATGGAAAGCTGAATTCAGGGTGTTCCATTGAAAAAAAAAAACACAAAGCTATTAGCCTACCCGAAAAAACGAAGGACACTGTATATAAAACAACTACACAAAATAAAAGTTTGGGTGGTTTCAAACAACTTTTTCATTTAACATTCCTCAATATTCCTATAAAAACAACATAATGACCTTTTTATACTGAACTTTCCTTGAATAAAGTACCATTCCTATTTCACATTCTTGGGGGAATTTAAGACTAAGAAAATTGTTTGAAATGATGACTTAATAAAAACAAATTATCATAGGGATTTCCTTTCGTGCGCTTCAAGCGTTGAAAAATATGTTCCATCAATAACTAATCCAAGTGCTTCGTAAATTTTTTATTTTATAAGGATGCTTGCCAAAAATTCGACGGATGACGTCACAATGTGTCCATGATGATTGCAGACAAAAAGGTTCCTGCATGATCCGCCATTTTGAAAACAAATGTCATTTGAAAGGTAGTTTTTCGCTCTATCGACTTACGTAAAATTATTCATACAGAGTGCCATTCGAATTTCAGTAAAATTTTGGGGCAAATCCTCTGTACTTGTACAGTGTGCAACATATGGAAATTTTTTTTGATGAATTGCACAACCAAAATACGTATAGTGTCAAAGGTTGGTGCATGTTCGGTAATCATTTAAGGTGCACTTAGAATCGTTGCAAGTCAAACAGCATACAGGGTAGGTCAAAAAATATAAAAAATGCTCAGGAGTAAAGTACCCTTATTTCAGAAAATTCAGCAAACTGTTATGGAAAAAAGTTCTTAACAATTGAAAGTTTTTCCTGAATACCAAAACATGGCCTCCTAAGACATATTTTAGTGTTTCGATTTGTTCCATTAATAACTTCCCAATTTGTATTTTTTTTATATTCACCCTAAACACTTTCATAATTTGATCATAACAAAATCAGTTGATCATACTTTTGTTGAAATTAATGCACTTTTGTGCAATCAACTTGGATTTTATTTTTTCAGGGAATCACAAACTTGATGTTTGTTGCAACGATATACAGCTCAATTTTGGGATTTCGCAAACCATATTTTCAAAACATCATTAGATAAGGAGTATGTCACCAAACTGCCTCAATATTTACTGTCAACCCTCATTTGTTCTGTTCCTTGGGTGTCCGTGATTTTTCAAAAGATATCATTGTTGTCGATCAATTTGTTCAGCTTTTTCATAAACATTTCAAATACAAAATGTTCACATTAAATGAAGGTTTTTGAATATGCATATTATCATTAATGATGTTTCACCTTGTTGAAAATATGGTTCGCAAAATTTCAAAGTTGAGCTGAATATCGTTGCAACAAACATGAAGTTTGTGATTTCCTAAAAAAATTTAAATCCAAGTTGAATGCAAAAATATGCTTGAATTTGAAAAAAAAATGAGAATTTATTAACGAAAGGAATTGAAGAACTGAAGAATGTCTTAGGAAGCCATGTTCTGGTATTTAGGTATGAATTTTAATTGTGAACAACTTTTCTCAATAACATTCTTCTGAATTTTTTGAAATACGGGTACTTTACTCCTGAGCACTTTTTATATCTTTTTACCTACCCTGTATGCTGTTTGACTTGCAACTATTCTGAGTGCACCTGAAATTATGATCGAACATGCACCAACTCTTGGCACTATCTGTATTTTGGTTGTGCAATTCATTAAGAAGATTCCCATATGTTGCACACTTAAATGACCACACTGTATATTGAAATTATGCTCATATTATTATTTTGTAGAAGCGAGGAGGGAAAATCCCAAATAATCAAGTAAAATGTATGTAACACCTCCTCGATCAACCAACAGGCGGTATTTCGAGCCGCCATTGCTTGAGATTTGACATTTCATGGAAGATGAATGAAGTCATTATGATAAATCCGAAACGCAAATGAAATTGATCACATACAAAGTACTTCATTGATCACATACAAAGTACCCCATTGACGAACGGAACATTTTGGTATATAAACGAATTGGGTCCAATCAACTTATTTTGACCTCTACTTCAAGTAGAGCAATTTTGGGACACCCTATATATAATCTATAACTGAAGTCATGTGAGGGATTTAAGCAGAATTGACAATAAGAAATCACTAGATTCGAAAACTCTTGGGGAGTAGGTTTCCCGTAACGAATTAGCGATATACAAATGCTACAAGTTCTTTATTTATATTATCTACTATTTAATTGGAGAATCAAATTGAAAGGTATACACTCTGATCCGAATCTCAGACCATTGGACTATAGAAAAGTTTGAAAGTTTGATGTTTTTCTCCAATATTTATATGTTCAGAAATGAACATACAATGATTCCATTTCTACCTTATAGAATCTCCGAGAATAGATTCACCTATTATACATAGAAAACATCGTTATATTCACATGTCTGATGTTTTGTTATATAATTTTTCAACAAAAAGAATGATATATACTTCTTTATCTTGATACAATCAAATTATCATGTCAATATCTTCCTGATTCGGATCAAACAGATTATCAAACACAAATACTACAATGTACGAACCTTTCTCAGCCCTCTAGAATTCTTCATAAAACAGTTTGAATCAGATTTGAGTAGGTATAGCAAGGAATTTCTATCGATTCAACTTGGCAACAATGCGCTACCGCTTGTTCCGAGTCTCCACGCGTCTCACACATTCTGGTATATTGACGGTCTGTCGATGTACGGTTCTGATGTTTTACGGGTCTGTCAATGTACGGTTCTGCCATTTTACGGTTCTGCTATTTCACGGGTCTTAATCCAAAAAATTCTGAAAATTTACGGGTTTGGTAGCTGCACGATTCTGCCATTGTACGAGTCTGTCATTTTACGATTCTGCTGTTTTACGGGTCTGTCGTTTTACGGTTTTGATGAATTATGGATCGGAAATTCCGGTAGTCCGATGGATTATGAGTCTGTCGATGTACGGTTCTTGCATTTTACGGATCTAGAGTATTGGCAGTCTGTGCTTTTACGAGTCTGTCATTGTACGGATCTTTCATTTTACGGGTATCAAAAATTGACAGTCTGTCTTTTTACGGGTATGAACTTTTCGCATTCTGCCATTTTCAGATTCTGTGCATCACAATTCTGCCAGTTTGCTGGTCGGGAATGTTCATTCTGATGAAATGGTGGTCTACAGAGTACGGGTCGCTGAATTACAGTCTGTGCTTTTACGGTTCTATGACTTTACGATTATATATTTTTATGATTCTGACGACATGAAGAGTATTTCATTTACTGGTTTGGCAAAGTACACTTCTGAATATATGGCAGTCTTTCGATATACTATTGTGATTTATGCATTCTGACATAATGCAGTCTGTCAAAGTACGGTTCGACAAATTACGGGTTGTACATATTGCAGTCGCTGAAATATGGTTCTGATGATTTGCTATTCTGATTTCTTACTATTCTAGTCAAATAAATTCCTACTAATCGACGGTCTGTGTCGATACGTTCTGATGATGTATATGGACCCCTCTCCTTTACACTCCCTAGCCCTGTGTCCAATATCTCCGCATTGCAGGCAGGTTTCCTTTCTGTCCTCCCCTCTGCACTCCTGGGACCGGTGCCCGAATTCAAGGCATCTGTAGCACCTGATGGGAGATACCCTTTCCTTCACTCTGCAGCTTATCCACCCAATTTTCAGGCTGCTCTTATTAATAACAATCCCTGCCGTTGCCCTCGGCATCTCTATGGTAGCAGTTTGGTTGCCGTGCCGCCCCATTCTCACTGACTTCACCTGAATATTGCCTGGCTCCTCACCTGTCTCTCTTGTGATGGCTTCCACGATCTCCTCTTCTGCTGTGGCTGCATCGATGCCCGTCACAAAAATCGTTGTGCCCCCTGCCAGTGCCCTCACAGCAGGTATCTGGATCTTTTCTTCTATATCTTTTCTGAGTGTCTCCCCCATGCCCTTACCCCCATCCACCGTTAGAACCAGGTCCCCCTTCTGTGTTTTTCCTATCCTTGTGATACTCACTCCGATCTGCTCTACATTGATTCCGTCTTTGACTGTGCGCAACAGTTCCGCGAACGTCTTGCCCTCTGCCTTCACCGTCACCGTCTCCTCTGACACCCGGTTCCTCTGTCTACCAATACCTTCATGGTTGAGGATGATTACCTTTGTCCCCGTCCCTCGAAAGACACATTCCAGAACCTTCCTAGTATTCACTCTGTCGAGTCCATTCAGAGGCGCTATGAGAATCTCTGGTCTCTTCTCAGCCTCCACAATTTCCTTGAGGCCTATAAACATTCTGTAGAGCTTCTCTGATTGGTCTGTTTTTCCTGTCGCTTGAGCGTATGGTAACAAATAAACATACCCCGTCCTCTCCCTGTCTTCACCCCTGCTGGTAAACGTTTTCGTTGCCCTCATCAGATATTCGACGTTGCCATCGTTGAGTGTCCCTAACATCTCCTGGGCCTCGGGATACTTCTCTTTCATGATTTTCATGGTCCCCGTCTCCCCCCTATCACTTGGATCTATAATCAGTGCTATGTCCCTTTCTGCTATGAATACCCCTGGATTACCACGCTCCACTTTTGTCGCCGTGAATATATCCTCGGGCCACCTTCTGTGCAAGCGTTTGGAAATGACCTCAAATCCCTTGACTTCCTCCAATTCCGCTGGCATCAGTACAGCAGCAGCTTCAGCCTCCTTCGCACCACACTTGCTGCATACGTATTCTGCGATTCGTTTTTCTGGCTCTGCTTCCACTGCCTCATCCGTCACGGCCTCCATGCGAACCTCTTGGCGAGCTTGGATATGCTGAGCTTTCCACTCCTCGCACCTTCTGGCCAAGTTCCTTACTATGTATCCCAAGTCTTCGATAGTTTTCTTGATTCCCTTCTGCGTATTTGGATTATTTCTCACAAGTGTTTTAAGCTGCTCACTATTCTTTTTCAGCTTATCTACGAACTGCTTGAAGTCTTCACCATCCACTTCTAGTTTTCCTGGCTCCTGTCTGAAGGGTGGTGTTCCTGCCATCCTTTTCCGTTTGTTCCTACGTACAATAAAATCATCCGTCTCATCCTTCTTCGTACTTTCTGTGTCATCTAGCTTGTCAGTCTCTTTTGCCGTTTTGTCATTCTCGCTCCCACTCAGCTCCAGTGCGCTGCTGCCAAAAGTCTCCTCGATCCAGAACTGTTCCTTGTTCTCATCTTTCCCATCTGGGGTCTCAAACACCCCTCCTGAGCTCACACTGCTTTCACTGCCTACGCGAGGCACTGGTGAACGTGCCACTCGTGATCCTCTTCTTCCAAAAATCGCCGCTCTCTCCTGCTCTTCCTTGTCATTCCTCCCTTCCTCAGTTTCAGTTTTGTTTAGGTCCATTCAATTCCCACGATCAGCTAGGGAATCGTTGGTCCACTCCTGCAGAGCCCCGCTTGCAGGAGTAAGGCATCTTCCCCCGCCGGGTTGCCTGGTCCGGCGGGCATCGCTCGCGACACACTATCTCATCCCTGTGCCATGCACCCCGTCGGCACGATGGAGTTACACCTTAGGGTTGGGAGACGCGGTAGCCAAAGAGTTGGCCAAGCGGAGAAAGGCACAGCCGCCTCCCCTGTGCCCGTGAGAGTGAAAATTGCCAAGATAGGCAGGAAAGGACAAGATAAAGTATAGAAGAGAATGTGCCAAGGTAGGCGGAAGAAGAAAGAAGAAGAAGATGTATAGGAACCTCACCTAAGACTAGTTAAACTGTTACAAAACGGATGGGGTTTGTCTCAGTAACAAAGGAAAATCATTATTATGCAAGGGTATAGCAAATTATATAAGATATCATTATTGTAAAATTTCTTCTGTAACTTACGATAAGCATCCCAACATTTCCTTACCTGGATTGAAAACCTGTACCACTAAAAATGATGAAAATGTAACACAAAGTAATGAAAATAATGAAAATAGTAATTTTTTATGCCCACCATTATCCCAAGCAATAACGATAGAAAACTATTAGAATCAATTGTCACAGGTAAAAATCCATCTACTGTTATATCAAATGACTCATCGTGTTTCTCGAACATGAAAATTTTCAGTGCAAATGTACAGTGTTTGTCAAATAAAATAAACTTAGTTGAACAACTGATGATTGATATAAACGCAACATTTATCTGTCTTAGTGAACATTGGGCAAATAAAGATCAAATCATAGATATTGAAGGCTATAAGGAGATCAGTAGATTTAGTAGACTCTCTCATAAGCACGGAGGATCAATTATTCTTGTGAAAAATGGTGTTTGTAATAAATGCAAAAATTTAGAATTTATTTGTAACCTATCTATTGAGCTTACATTTGAATGTTCCGCCATCTCATTTGATAAAGATACGACCATAATCTGTTTGTATAGATCACCAAACAGCAATGTTAACTTGTTCCTTACGCAACTTTCCTCTCTACTGGCAAAAGTTACCGAAACATTCAAAAATGTGTTTATATGTGGGGACTTCAATATTGACAGTCTAACAAGAAACATGGATACAATAGTTCTGTATGATATAATTGAATCATACGGTTTTATATCTCTTCTCAATGAACCAACAAGAATTGGACATTGGGGTGATCGTGTAACAATCAGTAGCATAGATTATGTACTAACTAACATCAACAGAAACAGTCTTACCCTAAGTAACATTGATCTTGCCTTATCGGATCATCATTCTCAAATCATAAGTTGGGAAAGTGAAATGAAAAATACTCCTATAAACACAAAGAATCCGGAAGAAACTCATAAGTTCAGGAAAATAAACGAACTCTCAATAGCAGAATTTAAGAGATTTCTAACTGGTAACATGGAATTCCTGAACAACTTTATTACCACCACGTTTGCCAATTCCAATGAAGCATTTAATGTTTTTTGGGAACATTTTCATTGGTGTTTTGAGGCAGCATTTCCTAAATCCACAAGATATAAAAAATACCAAGAGCAGAATAACAAAATCACCCTTTCCACCTCATTACAGAAAAAAATTGATAATTTAAAGCACTTGAATCACCTGAGGAAACAGGATAACTCTGAAAATAGTAACATCGCTTATAAAATAGCCAAGAAGAGTGTTGAAAATGAAATTCGTCAGGAAAAAATAAATCATTTCATGAAAAAAGTTCAGGATTCTACGAATAAAACCAAAACACTCTGGAATATTATAAAACAACCACATAAAAATAATGAAAACAAATGTATAGTACTGAGTCATGATGATAAAATAATCAGTAGCGAACAAGAAGTCGTAGTAACATTCGGAGAGTATTTCTCAACAATAATTGACGAGAAAATCAGGACACATTTCCCAGGGAAAGATTCAGAAAGTTGTACCACAATGCCAAATGTCAATTCAACCATGTTTTTTGAACCAGTCACTACGGATGAAGTAAAGAAAGTTATAGCCTCTCTAGATAATAAGAAAAGCACAGGACATGATGAGGTCTCCACAAGAATAATAAAAGAATGTGTGGATATATTATCGGAAGTTATAGCACATATTATAAACTTATGTATTTCGTTTGGAGAATATCCTGATCTGCTGAAAATTGCGGTTCTTGTCCCTATACTCAAAAATGGTGACAGTAAAAATATCGAGAATTATCGTCCGATATCAATAATCAGTGTATTCTCAAAAATTTTTGAAAAAATTATATCTGGCAGAATAAATGATTACTTGGAAACATTCGATCTAATGACAAAGTGCCAACATGGGTTCAGAAATAACCGCTCGATAGAGACTGCAACGCTCAATTTTGTACAAGAAGTACATGATTTAATGGATAAAAAAAACATTGTGGTCGGTCTATTTTTTGATTTGAGTAGAGCCTTTGACACTTTGAACATAAAATTCGTATCAGATAAGCTATTTAAGATTGGTATTCGAGGAAACATAAATCATCTTATAGTGTCTTTCCTAACAAATAGATATTTCCAGGTGAAACAGAATGATATAATGTCCGATAAATACCTAGTAACAAATGGGACGCCTCAAGGCAGTGTACTTGGTCCATTAATCTTTCTATTATATGTGAATGATCTACCTAATAATATAAGTAATGGTGCGGTATACCTTTACGCAGACGACACTTCCATTATTCTATCAAGTAAAACAGCGGAAGAAATGCATAACCTTGTTAACTCAGTACAACACGAATTTAATGACTGGTGTTACAAAAATAGACTTATAGTTAATATGAGTAAAACTGTCTGTATGGAATTTGCAAATTCATCTCGAAGCCTACATGATTTCAATTTCATTTTCCGAAATGAATCCTTGGCTTTAACAAGTTCAACAAAATTCTTAGGTACCATTATTGACTCGCATTTCACTTGGCGAGAACATATAGAATTCACATCCAAGAAATTGAATCAATCGTATTACCTCATCAAATCCCTTAAGAATAAATTAGATACCAAAGCACTGATAACAATTTATTTCGCCAAGTTTCAGTCTATTATTTACAACAACATTGCTGTCTGGGGTTTAGCAACTGAAGTGGACAGAATTTTCATAAAACAGAAAGCATTACTGAGGCTAATTTTCAATCTAGACTACAGAACGTCATGTAAAGAGATTTTTCGTCACAATAAAATATTAACTGTTGCTTGCTTGTTCATTCTAAAAACATTGACGTATATCCACGGAAACAGAAGGCAACTAGAGTCGAGATCGGAAGTCCATGATTACCATACTAGGAATAACCATATGATCCTCACCCAAAAACACCATCACACAAAGTATAGAAAGTCTCCTATGTTTGCTGGTATCCGTCTTTTCAATATACTGCCATGCGATATAAAGACACTTCCCCCCCTAGTTTTTAAAAAACAGTTGAAAGTGTTTCTATCAGAAAAATGCTTCTACACAGTAGATGAATTTATACTTGAAGTTGGTAATGTCAGATCACTGTCATTGTAACGTTTTTAGCATGTTGTTTACTTATCTATTCTATTCTTACTTTTTTAATATGTATTTGTTTGTTTTACAATGTGTGTCACGTGATATTTTTTACTTGAAATTTTCTTTATTCTTATATACATATATATTATACCTGACAAATATGACCTGTCCCATCTACATAATGTAGCACAAAGGACTAATAAATCTATCTATCTATCTATCTATCTATCTAGTTGAAGAAGGTAAAGGTTCAGCTAGGATTTCCAGGAGTCGCCACCTCCTACACTCATCATAATGAGCCCTTCCAGAGTTTCTTTTATCGAGGTTGACTCCTCTAGATCCGTAATGTTCAGTAAGAGACAGGCCGACCTCGAGTAGGGTGTGCTACGATCGAGCACGCATTACGATCTTGCTAGTGCAGAGGCTTTGTTTTGCGCATGACACTAGCCTGGGAACAAACCCTCCGGCCCACTGTCTCTCCTCCTGGTATTCCTCCTGGCGTTACAACGAAGTATAGCTCAGCAGCTCAGCATACGGTGCTGCGCCTGGAGTCCAGAGTACTCCTGGTCTCCACTGGTCAAAATCCCCGAACAAGATGGTAAGATCGTCCTATGGGAGATCTTGACGAGGGAAAGGTGGTGTCCTCAATGGAAACTAAACACAAACAGCCTCCATCCGGTCGTTTCACGACCCTACGATCATATACCGAGGAGTATGGTCTCCTACGACCCTATTGAAAAAAATAGGCTCACTTAACATCCTGTACATCTCCTACCACGTGGATCACAAAAAGAAAAAATACAGCCAGAATGGCGAGACATACCAATCCAGAAAATAAAATCATGCCAGTTTAAACTGCTTACCTTCTGCGAAGGGTCGAACCAGCACCAAAAAACTGGGGGGCCATGCTGTAGGGCTCCCAGGTGGCAACGGACAATCTCTCAATGATTACACAAAAATGACTTGGCTATTGGCCTTAGAGCTTGTAAAACACTCGAAAATACAAATCCCCAAAATGGGTTTGACTAAAAAGCCAAATTTATAGTGCTTACTGCCGGACCAACAAAACCTTCAGCCTTCTTCTATCATGGCCGCTGAGAAAAAGCCACAAGGCCGGAAGTTTCTCCAACTCCAAAACCCCTCCTTTTTCCCTAACTTTATCAAAAAATCCCTGGTACCATTTTTGCCAACACAATACGTAGAAGGTCACACACAGGAGAAATTATTTTTCACATGGGTTAAACCAATGGCTGTTTGAAAAACTCTTCGACGAACCACGGGCTGTTTCAAAACTTGTCGACGAAACACTGTCGTGAGCCATCCTCCATAGTCGTCCAAGCCAGCGGCAGTAACAATTGCTGACAAGACATGCGACTGTGAAGTGTGTCAAACTGACAATGACGTCCTGGAGAAAAAACATCAAAAATGTCAAAGGTGTCAAGTGAGCTCATTCTTAACAACAATGAAAATCCTAGAAAATTAATAAACCTCTTCTTCAAAAGGGACACGTCCTAAGGGAACAGTTAACCTAATGATCCCTGAAATAGTCAAGCAAATCCATTCATCCTAGTTGGAGAACACTACAGGTAAGCGATTGCTTTCTTATAAGTCCCCAAAAGAACTAATTAACCTTTTGATTTCAGGCTGAAAGAACTTTCACTTATCAACCTGTCTTTCGGCATTGACCCCTTTCAATATCAGAACCTGTTTATTTGGATCAGAAAAAGAAGCCTCAGCTTGGATCATCACATCCTACAGGTGTACTGATATCAGAGAGGATGCTAAGAAAATTGATGATAAATTTCCAAAATAAAAGGTGTGTGATATGAATCAACTGCAATTAAAAGTGTTAACTATACCAGGTATTTGCATCATTTATCTGACTGAGTGTTCTCTGTGAATATGTACATAATTGATGATTTATTTACCTGAATATTTCCAAG